TCACCACATTTGTCATTTTTGTATAAATTCATTCTAAAGTTTAGCTGAAGCTACTATGAATCATCAGCTAAGCATCTGCATTAGTCTTTCAAAAATGGATATCTTCTAAAGGTATACTGTTTTTTAGAGATTTCACTTCACTGCAGCCATGGAGGGGGTAATCATTACAGTGACTAATAACTCAGTTATCATAGCAATGTTGAAGTGTGAGAATTGTTTTAAGACGCGCTTGAAATAATGTTTTTGTGTCCTGCAATGCCTGACCACACGATATAATAGCATGTGATGTTATGTAAAATACTGCTCAATACTGCTCTTTGTATAATCATAGATCCTGTATTCAATTTTTAAAAGTTGAAACTACCCTTTGCCAACTTTAACCAACTTAATGCTAAACCCGAGTAGGAATTTCCTGCCTTTGCAATAAAAAGTCTGACAATGGTGGTAATATTGCTTTTATATAGACATAATATTTCCACATGCCATCAGAGCAGGGGCGTCCCTCTCTAACTTCAAGAAGCTGTTGAGAACTCATCTCTTCCGACAATTCTCTTGTCTTGATTGCACTATTTCTTAACTCTTATTTCTTCTTCTAGTTATTTATCCCATTGATGCCATATGCACTAATAGCTCTTACTAGTATATATTGCTGCTCTTACTAGTATATATTGTTACTTGTAGATCTCTTACTTTATTGATGCTTTATTGATGCTTGTATGCTTACCCCACCTTTGCATTAAAATCTGTTTTTATAACCCATTTTGAGTAAATAATCATCATTCATTCACCCTAATAACCTTGTACAATAACCACATACTTGCTTCTTGTTCCCCATGTGGATAAATACTGGCTGTGTGTGTACTGTGGAGCTGAAGGCTTTAGATGCTATTACTGCAGCAGTATTTAATGTACCTCAGGTAGGACGGAGGGATATTCAGTGTAAAAAGGCCTGAGTTTGCTGAAGGTGGTTGTGGGAGAGATAGATTGACCACCACAAAAGGAAAAAAAAACATTTTAAAGACACTGACCTCTAAATGACAGAATTAAAGAACCGTAATTTATTGGGTGCTAATCAAACACTGGAATGTAACTGCTGACACCATCAGGGGTTTTGGTACCAGAGCAAGGTTTCAATTGAAAGCTGTCAGACAAGGGTTACTGTTGTGTTAAAAAGGCATTCTGGGTTTAATTGTTTTATACATGAAACTAAGTTCAGCACAAGATGAATGGTAGTTAGAGAGGGTTAGATTTGGAGGAGAAGGGTAAGGGTAAGGTGTGGGTAAAGGGTGTGGGGTCAGGGTGGCATAGGGAGGTTCCCCACCTGGTTACACCTTGTTGCGATCTACTTGGGGGAAAACAGTGGTAAAACAAGGTACATCACATTTATGGATGCTTCACAGACAAACAAAATAAAGCATACGTTTGCATCAAATGCCAACAAAATAGTTTCTATTAATAAAAATAAATCTACAATCATATATATTTTGGTTGGTAGCAGACAACTGGGTGAAAAATCCCAGTAAAAAATTGACTCCACAATGGTTTCAGCTACAGTATACTGTTTCAGGCCACATGCAGAGAAAATAGCAGGTGTGATTGGATGCTGAATGTGCCTGTTATTTTTGGAGGTTCAGTGAAGTAACACACAAATCAAGACTGTTGCTGATTATGAGCTCAGCTTTGTTCTGTAATTGCACGCTGCTACAACTTCTAAGTCTCAACCAAAACATAAAATAAAAAGGAGGAAATCCCAATAAAACAGATCTCCTGCGAGTATTAACACTATTAATTATATTAAAACAGATCATACCAACATCATACCAAGCCTAAAAACCGACTTATCACTAGCATGTGAAGCTGACATTAAAAGGCAGTATTACAGTTTGAAAATCAAACGTGAAATGCACCAAGAAGCCGCAGATTGGCCTCAACATTTGAATGGTTCCAGTAGGTGAGATGACAGATTGACAGATTCGGCTTTGATGGAATGCTATGGTTCAGTGTCTTCGCCACAGGCAGTCAATCAAATGGATTGCAAGCAGAACAAGCTCTTGAGACATGCGTGGTGAGCGAATGACAGTTGTCTATCACACATGATTTTCTATCTGCAACTGGAGAACATGGGAATGAACTGGAGCTAAACAGCCTTTGCAAATATTTTGAGTTTGATTTAACCTGCTAAAGCATCAGATATATGGGACCTAATAAGTAAGAACAATATAAAATCAAAACTATGGAGATCCAAAGTCAATATAAAATGAAAAAATCCAACATCATGAAATAAATATTATATATGTCTCTGGCTGAATATTTCAAAATTTAAAAACATTGTAAAAGTGTCTTGAACATGCTACATACGTGATATCATACTGAACGACAGCATCAGCATTTTCACCACCTGATGATCCATGTAGAATACATGGAAATAAAGAAACAACATTGTTCTTCTATGGCAGGGTAAAGCTAGTATTATATAAGTATACTAAAAATACGTTAACTGACATCCAAACTAATGTAGTTAGTTTATTATATATGAATTATTATATTATGATATATCTATTGACCTTGAAAGTATCACTTGGTTAGCACTGTAAGCATTATTTCAAAAGGTTTTATTAATTCTTTAATACTGAACATTGGGTCTCCATAGTATACAGATAGTCAGTCACTGAAAAGTACTGTATATGAGTTTCACATATGAAAAAGTATTCACAAATGCTATTCAGCTCAGGTTTGAGCTCACAAACTGCATGTTACTGGAAATTATGTAACAGTATGGTCATAGGACAGTCATTAAAAACGTGATCACATCATGCAGTCTATCTAATGTGCATGCTAAAATCACAGAGATGATCGACATTCCCTGAGATGTATGCCCTCTATTGGCAGCTTGCTTGTTACATTAGCGTACCTTTGGTGAATTAATAATAGAGAATGTGAAATTGTTGGTATCATTCCAGCCCAGGCAGAGGTGTGGCGAGGCAAAGTGCTGATGAAAACAACTCCCTTTCAGAGGCTCCATCAAGGAAGATGAAGACGCAGATGACATACCCCTCTTTAGCAGAGGAGAGCATGGGAAGGACCATTAGCTAAGCACATGAGGATGTAAGTGTGTCCCAGGCAAAACAGTGCACATTGCAAAAAAATGCCCATCCTCACAAGCAATTTCCCTTCTTATACTGCAGGTCTTTATAGCCTAACAAAGGAAAAATACACCTCAAAAGCTGATGGAAATACAATTTTGCTATTTGGCTCCTTGTTTAAGCACCATTTAGAACCAATCATCAACAATGATGCATAAAGAAATTCAGTGAAGATGAGGTGATTTTCCACCAACTGTACCCTTTAAACATGAAGTGTTAATGGCATTGTTTAATGTAGGAAACCAATGAAGTATTTGGTAGTGGTTGACCGATATGGGGTTTTCCTATGTCGATAATTAGAGAGCAGGGTCGCTGATTTCAAAACAATGAAAACTCATGTATAATTCCATTATTCCATGCAGAGTACAATCTAATATAAATGTTATTTTAGCCAGTAACGTGTTGTTATAGAAGGGGGGCACTAACATCGTTACACAGCAGCTCACTGACAAGGCTGCTGCAGATGTGTCCCCAGATATTTTTGTTTATCGGCATCGTGAGTGCAGGTATTGGCCGTTGCCAATTATCTCAAAATGCCAGATATCGGTCTATCACTAGCATGATATTATACTTGTGTTTCAGTTCAAAATGTTGGCATTTTGAATTTTGTTCATGCATTATATTTTGAGCCCAGAATGGATATTTGTTTTGTTAAATTATTGTAATGATGATGTTAACTAGTCACAAAATAAAAACTGAAATTCACTAAACAACTAAGCCTGAAAGAAATGTTGGTGTATTGTTTTTTCTTTTAATGAATTTTAATTCATACTTACTTTTACTGAAACAAACAATAGTATCATTGAAGAAAATAGAACTGCATTCCTCATCCTGACATGCCTTTAAAGAAAATCTGGATATGTTTCAAGAATTAAGACTGAATATGTGAGGAAACGACTTGTTTTTGCAGTGCAAGCCATGTATGTTTTCTCTTTCACATACATACACACACAGATACTGACACAGACAGTCAAGATGAGAGAGGGAGAGGAGGCATTACCCCATGAAGCTCCTTCAAAATGATCCCGGCACAGAAACAGGGAAAGGATAATGTCAATAAGCACACTGCACAACAACACAACACTCACACACACTTCATACTCTTCCAAGATTTGTTCAGGATTTTAGTTCCACCTCCCATCTGCTTAAGTTAGAAGATAAGTGATTTTTCTTTTCTTTTCAATTTTCTTGTTGTGCTGATGTTCACATCATCACATCTATTTAAAATGATTAACAACAAATTATTAAAGTGATTAGCAGGCTTAGATTAGGAGAAGCTATGACCAGCAGTAAAGGCAAAACTATTGAGTTAATGGCTTACAGTTTGTATATTTATATAGCCTTCATCAAAACATTCCAAAATAATTTCATCACATTCATACCCATTTGAAAGAACATGAAATGGCATTTTTAAATCTAAGAACAAAATATCAAAGATATACATACTAATAGAAGTGTTAGCAATGTTAGAAATAACTGTAAGATAGCTGAATTACAGAAATATAATGTAACAATTTAATTGTCATATGAAATGATGTCACATAAAACACCATATTGATGATTATGTATTAATTCTACCCCTATGAACACAGGAAGGAATTTAATCCAGTTTATGTTTTAAAGATACTGTTCCTTTTTCTTCTAATGAAGATGGACATAGACTAGATGCTGCAGGATGGGTTTCTGTCCCCCACAGTCCAAATTACACATGTTCTAATTGAAGTTGGGTATTTATATTGACAAACCAGATGTAGACACCAATCACCAGATCTAATCTGATCTGATGATCAGGATGAACTATTCACAAATTGGAGAAATCTTATTTTATGACAAAAAGGTGGGAGTTATTGAACTTACGAAAATGCAAAAGCCACCAGCGCCCCACTGACCACTATGAAGTCCAGAATGTTCCACAGGTCTCTGAAGTACGCACCGGGATGTAGCAGCAGGCCAAGGTCCACCATCTAAACCAAAGACACCACCTGTTATGTCTTTTTCTTTATTTGTTGTTATATTTGATAACATTTTATTTATTTCCAATTAATTTAATTTGAATATATAACTATGTTATTAGGCCTGTAGTAAGAGAGTTTATTATTTCAAATCTGTGATGATTATTGATTATCCTATAATATTTATATTTTGAATTTAACTATATAAATTGTTACTTCTGATTCAGAAATGGGTTTAATCATCATTGTGTTAGATTAATCAGTGAAAGACAGTAAAAGACTTGATTTATATGAAAATACAGGACTATTAATAAAAAGGAACAGTAATGCAGCCCCGTCCTGACACTGACTGATCCTGACACTGATTGCGCTAATGTCTACATTCATCACTTAAGTACTTTCAGTAATCAGAACAACTCAATTCTGATAAATTACATAGTTTTTAGAGACTATAAAGTCATGTGTCATGTCACTTGTGTTTAACTGTATATTTATCCAAATGCTTACCTTGATCACCATTTCAAAAGTGAAAACCCCAGTGAAGGCGTAGTCCAGATATTTGAGCACCTGTAAAAGAGAGACTCAATCAGTTCTGAAACAGATGACAGAGAAATTAAGAAACATTTTCTCTGGGCTCATGGCAAATGATCCTGTGTGTGTATAATAACCATGTATGTAATATCAGTCTGTACGTTTGTCTTCTTTGTTTTAGGCACTGCCTGTTAATGTGTAATCAGTGAACACTGGAGTCAATGATTCACTGGAAGGTGTAAAATAGTGTTTTCTGTCTTCTCATTACTGAACAGATTCATTTACTCAATTTACTAACAGGCCAAAGTCCACACTAACAAGAAAATAATTCAGGATAAAACACCTTTTTAAAACAGTTTTGTACATGTGAATTTAGTGAATATGTATTATTTGTGTGCATGTGTTTATGTGAAAAGATGTGATGATAACTATGTGTCTCACATTGTTGCGAGGGGCATTCGTCCAGACAGGATCTTCTGCTGCCAGAGCTATACTGCTCATAGCAATGACTACCAGGATGGACATCTCAAAATAACGCAGTGTCACAACATAGTGACATAACCGCCTCACCCTGAGGAGAGACAGTTAGGGACAGACAGCGTGAAGGGAGAGAAACAGTTAAGACTGGGTTATCTTCTCACTATTAATTGGTAAAAGCACACATGGGCTTAAGGCAAGGTTCAAAATAAAGCCTGGCTCTCAGTTACTAGACCTTCATCAGGGAATATGCTCAACAAAGACAAATCTGGGAGCTCCTTGGTAGAGCAAAAGCCGTGTAACCACAGGCCAGCGATCTTTGTAGTAGGTCATGCCCAATAACTGTGAAAAATACCAAGATATATGCAATATACAAACATTAGCGGAATTTAGGAAGGAAAACAGTCATTTAAATGGTTTCCAGGATACAGTATGAATCAAATGTATGTGTGAAACCTATCTATATAGATACAACAAGATGCAGTTGACACAAATTATTTATACTATGTGCTGCAAGCAAACATACTCTGACCTCAAAGAGTTAATCTCATCAGCACACAGGTAAGTGGAGAACCTTACCCTAAAATAACCAGCGTTCCTGTTCATGTCCGACATATAAATCAGCTACCACTGTCTACTGTGTGTGAGTAAACAGCTGACAGACACTGGTAGTAAGAGGCACTGGTCTCTTGAGGAAGTGCACTTTACTGCTACTACTTCTACTACGTGTACTTCTACTGCTTTTATTAGAACCGAAAGCAGAGAAGGGAGGTGGAATCATAGTAACAACAAACACACAGGCCGAAAGCAGAGAAGGGAGGTGGACTCATAGTAACAACAAACACCCAGGCTTGCTAGAACTAGTAAGTACATAGTCAATATGAGGATATGCTAGTTTATAGATATGAAATAAAAGACCTGATATTACCCAAGCCCTGCATGCTTTAACTTCAATTGCAGGTGGGAGGTCCCACAGTGAGGTGAAGAAGGGAACTAAGGAGGTTGAGGTGACTCACGGATTGGTCTGTCCAAAGATGAACATGGAGCTGTAAGGCAGGATGGGTTTGGGTCCACTTTGACCTAGATCCTCCAGGGTCTTCTCATTCATGGTCATTGTCTCACAGTCAATACTGTTCACTGGGAAGACAGATAGTTTGATTACAGCAATGCAAGGGTCATGACCTTCAGATTTGACTACTGACCAGCCTCTGTCTTCAGTATGTAATTTACATGAATAACAACCCCCGACAATTGTCACATCTAATTTATTGCCATCAAGACACCAGTGTAGAATAAATTAGATTTCTCCAGCTTCTGCAAGGCACAGACCGACACAAAGAGAGCCTCTTCCCCATTACCATTTAACCAAAGCCAGGCTCTTTGCACTGGACGTTGTCAGACTCCAGCTATCTACAGACATATGTTTTTGATCATGTCCCTGTTTACACAACTATTTGTTTCATTACAGCCTAATCTGGGGTTACCCTTGCGCTTACACTCTAAAGCCATATGAAGAGAAAAGAGTAGGATATAGTAGGATTCAAAAACTGAATGAATGAGGCGCAGTATGATTTATTGAGAAAAGCTTTAGAGCAGACTCTGACTCCCAGTCCTTAGGGTTTGAGGCTACAGCAGATCCTGGCAGTGTGCAGTTCAGAGGGTGTTTCAACCTTCAAACTTTAAACAAATGCTTATTAAACAATATACTATTTAGCAAAGGTATCAGCATGCTGGTTACCCCAAGATGGAGTTCCTTTGGTTCCAAGTTCGGTTGGATACTCATTCCACTGTATCCCTGTATACTTGATGAAAGTGTACTTACAATGAACAAAATTATAAACGCAACACCCCATTCATCATGAGCTAAACTCAAAGATCTAAGACTTTCTCTATGTACACAAAAGGCCTATTTCTCTCAAATACTGTTCATAAATCTGTCAAAATCTGTGTTAGTGAGCACTTCTCCTTTGCTGAGATAATCCATCCACCTCGCAGGTGTGGCACATCAAGATGCTGATCAGAAAGCATTGGTATTGCCCAGGTGTGCCTTAGGCTGGCCACAATAAAAGGCCTGCTTGTCACACCTCGGAAAGAGCCGTCAGAAAATGTGATTCCTCTAAGGCCCTGTCAACACGAACACTGGTATTTTCATAACCCGTGACTTTTTTTAACACGGTTTGGCCGCAGTCAGGTTACTGAAACTGAACATTTTTGAAAACCCCTGCCAGGGTGAGGATTTTCAGAAACGCCGGTTGCAGTGCTGTCATGTGGACAGTAAAAAACTGGGGGTTTTGCCTTGCGACGTCAGAGTGTGCGCTGTTATCCGCTGTGTTTGATGTCAGATTGGGCGCCACTGCCTGCTTTGTTTACAATTTTATTAGGCTCTGATTGGCCAATGCGGCTTTATGGTTAGGGCCATATCACCGCCAGGAGGTTTGGCATGCTCTTGACAGCGCTTGATAGCGTGTGTTTGCGTTTTCATGTGGACAGATTTTTTTTTTAAACGAAGGAAAAACTCCAGTTATAAAAATAACTGTGTCCATGTGGACTAGGCCTAAATGTCCTCTGCCTGGAGATACTAGGGAAATGGAAAAGCGTCTGTAGCTAGATGCCTTAATGTAAGTATGAGAAACAGTCGTTGCAGAATCCATTTGTTGAAGAGAGAAAAAAAGTTGCCCCGAGGTGGGATTGAACACAACCTACAAGGTGAGAGTCCTGCACTTTACCGAGATAACATTTTGCCTTATATTCTCAACCACCTTCAATCTTATGGTGCGACGCAAAACTTAATTGCCAACCCCTGCTGTATATTATTACTTCTTCTTCTTCTTCGAACGTACGTATTCAACATAGTGATGATTGTCTACACTGCCTGTATTCTACCAGAAGTAGAACAAGAAAAACGTAGTGACGAAATGCACTCTGTAGTTCTGTTTGTCCGTTTTTAGCTACTGTAGAAACATGACGATACAACAATGGTGATGTCCATGGAAGGGGGGAACCACAGGTTTGTAGATAGAAATGACTCTTTCTAAGGTAATAAAAAACATTATGGTTCATTATGTAAGGTCTTTATACACCACTGAAAACATAGTTATGGATATTATATTGCTGACAGGAACCAGGAAAAGAGATCATGGCTGTGTCCGAAATCACCCAGTACGCCATGTACGCCATTTTGTAGTGCTGTCCGAATGTGTAGTGATAATTATTATACCCTATATATAGTCGACTCAATGTATCCCAGAATGCATTTTGAAAAGTAGTGTACAACTGATGATCACTAACCAAGCCATATTTACCATCATGCATTGCACTGATAGAAAAAAACAGAATGTCCAACGGTGCCGAAATAACAATCAAAGTAGTGTCCGAAAGTGAGCTCACTATATAGTGCTCTACATACAACTCCCTACATAGGGGGTAGGGAGTTGACAGCCCATATTTCTGCTGCTTTTCTGCACTGGCTTCCTGTAAAATACAGAACAGAATTTAAAAATCCTTCTGCTCACCGATAAAGCCCTTAATGGTCAGGCACCATCTTATCTTAAAGCGCTCATAGTACCTTACTACCCTTCTAGAGCACCAGGCTCCCAGAATACAGAGTTACTTGTGGTTCCTAGAGTCAGAAATGGGGACTCGAGTTAGAGACTCCGACTAAGTGCGACTTCAGTCGCACACACAGTGACTTGAGACTCGACTTGAGACTCGACTTGAGCCTCGTCCTCAAAAGACCTCAGACTCGACTCGGACTTGAGGTGCGGGATTCGTGAACAATGTTTATTTTTAGGAAACGTCTGATGAACTTGCCTTTATTCCCTCCCTCCGTTACCTATAACCTGCCTACGTAACACGTAGCATCTGCTGCACACGGCCGCACGTGAGAGAGGACAACAAATACCGCAGCTGCTGAGCCAATCATCATAAACTTTGGCTTTAAAACTTCATACAACAAGACCCAAACAAAGACGCGCTGAACGCAAATAGGTCAGTAACCTGTGGTGAGTAAACACCAGCAGCTCAGCATTGGCCATCTAACGTTAGTTTGCTTCAGCTACGACCTACGAGAGGTTAACTCCAACTGTCGTTCGCCATGAAAAGATGAATGAGCGTTTGTTTACTTGCCAAACTTGTGGTGGTCGATTAACATAATCCTTTACATCCTGCTGGCTGCCATCACGTTAATTATTACCGTTGGATAGAAAGAGGTTCCAGGTTTATTGTTGCTCATGTAACCTTACAGTTTTATTTAGTTATAACGTTACACTGTGTTGGAGAGTGGGGGATGTGTTGACTTACAGTAGTTTAAGCTGTCATTGATTGCATTGCACATTACATGGTTGTGCTCTGTAAGTTAAAAACAGGTTACAGCTTTATTGTTGACCATGTAACTTTACAGTTTTATTTAGTTAACTTTACACTGGGTTTGAGAGTCAACAGGGTTTGTTCACTTACAGTAGTTTATAAGCTTATAATAATTCATTAATTGTAGACACATTGTATATTAGGCTTCATGGTAGTGCTCTGTAAGTTAAAACCAGGTTACAGATTTATTGTTTATTATGCAATGTCACAGTTTTATTTAGTTAACGTTACACTGGGTTTAAGAGTCTGGGGAGTGTGTTGACTTAGAGTATTTAATATGCCGTCAGTAACTGCATTGCACATTACATGGTTGTGCTCTGTAAATGACAGGTTACCATTACAGTATTCCTTAGCCTATAGCTACGCAGTTTTATAAGCAACCTGGATTGAATGCAGCAGGTGATACAACATTTGTAATAACCACGACAGACTTGATTTGGACTCTATCTCAAAGACTTGAGACTTGACTTGAACTCTAGCTCAAAAATTTGAGCTGTAAAATGTGAGCATAGAGTCTCCAAAAGTAGAATGGGAAACAGAGTGTTCAGCTATCAAGCTCCTCTCCTGTGGAACCAGGTTCCAGTTTGGGTTCAGGAGGCAGACACCATCTCCACATTTAAGAGTAGGCTTCAGGTGATCCCTGGACCTTAGTTATGCTGCTATAAGCTTAGAGTGCCGGTGGATCTTCCTATATTGTTATTCTCTCTCTCTCTATCTGTGTGCATTCTTATCCCATAAACACCACTTCTTCCCTCTCCCGTAGCTTTCTCGTCCCTCTCCTCTCTCCTTCTGTTGCTTTCTGCAGGTACTTCTGGCTCCGGAGCTGTGGGGTCTGGATCTGTGGTTGCAAGCCACCTCCTGCAGCCATGTTCCTGTTTGACACCCACTACTACAATTATTATTATTAGTCTTATTATTATTATTGCTATCATTACTACTATTATTTTTTTTATATATATTAGCACTCTATTTGCCATTACTATTATTTTACATCTCTGTGTGGTACATTGTGCTACTCTGTTTTCTTTCCTTCTGGTCTTCTTCAACCCAACTGCTCAAGGTTTCTGCCTGTTAAAAGGGAGCTTTTCCTTGCCACTGTCATCAGGTGCTTGCTCATGGCGGGAATTGTTGGAATAATATCAAAAAGAGTCCTGTCTAGACCTGCTCTATATGAAAGGTGCCCTGAGATAACTTCTGTTATTTGGCGCTACATAAATACAATTGTGTGACAACGCTAAGACCTGATGACACATATGCTTTCTGAAATAAATTTTCTTTGGGTGTGATTCTGGAACTGATAATGTCAGATTTCACCACCCCTTATGCACCTATACTATTTAATCTGCATGTGCAAATAGCAATCAATGCAAATACTCTTCATTTTAGAGGTACCTCACCGTCCTCTTATCATAGTAAGCAATATGTCCTCTGTATTTATCATACTGTACTTGGTTTAACTGGGTGTGGCTATGGAAAAGACCTTCAGTGACTGCCATGGAAGTAATTTAGTCACATTATGTGTGCATTCTGTAGGGCTCAGTTGGTACTGACTTTGCATAAGTGTGGTCTCTCCAGGTGGAGAAGTGATAGTCACAGGAGGAATTTGGATGGAGCTCTGGCCAGTTCGTCTGACGTTCCTCTGGTTGTCTGAGTCCTCTGGTCGGGCAGGAAGCCAGTTGCTCCCCCCAGGGCCCTGCTGGGGTGAGATAGCTAGGGACTCCCCCTCTGAGTTACCAAACCTGTCCCTAGAACAGAGATACCATCTTAGATATTAATACACAGTATATTCTCATTTTGCACACTGAATAAAGGATGTGGGTTACATGATGTTTGTGTCTCAGTGACATTTCATTTGACTTAACAAAGTCTGGTGGATCTGTCATCAGCATTCATAAACCAGTAGAAACACAATTTGAAGGGTCACTGTAAAAATATTGAATGTGAGAAATTTATAGTAAATCCAAAAATAAATTATTTGATGATCTCTCTATCAGTGCCATTTTTATTTTCCTTAAAAAGGTAACTGTCCTCCAAAATTATTACAGTGATATAATTTGTTTTGTCTCTGTTCTCCAGCGCATTGGATTTGAAATCAAACAGTGACTAGGAGGTACTGATATTCAGCTTTATAAACAGTGTTCCAATTACACTGTTGTTTTTGAAGTAGGACGGCTTACATGGGGAACGTGGTTCATGAGATTGGTTACTATTACATTCACTTAAACCAAAATATACAGCAAAATACATGACAACAGCAGCTTACATATAGCAGTATGTATGCTGTGTCACCCCGGACAGATTTCAATAAACAATGCTTTGTAAGACATAATGACCTTTCCTGAGACCTTCTTCTGAGACAAGAGTTGCTCCTAAGAAGTGCCATAACATAGATTTAATGCCAAAGTACTTTCTTTAACCTCATAGTTATTGATTCAATAACAGTACAGTAGCTATACCGTAGCTATAAGAGTACAGAGCTAAAAAACTGTCACAGTTCTAATTCTAACTGCACAGTATTATTAAACCGATGTGAAAAGAGTCCTGTAAAGTCACTGAACAGAGAAAAGAATATCGACTATGTACTTTATTTTTTACCTGTGAGTGTGGGTCTTCTCTCTTTGGCTGGATTTCTCTCCTTCAACTGTGGATTGGCCCTTGGATCCATGAGTCCTATTTCTTCTCCTCTCTCCATTGGCATCACTGTCTCCTCTGGAATTCCTATCCCCATCCCTGTTAGACGAACGTTCATCATTGTGGCGGGATCTTCGTTCTCCCCTCCCTCCACTGTTCACTATCCCATTGCCCCCTCGGGAATGCCGGTGTGAATGATGATGCCGATGCTCTTTCTCACTCGTGATTCCTCCACCTGCGTTGTTGTCCACCGAGCTCTGATGGTGATGCCTCCTGCCTCCCTCTCGACTGCGGGACCGCTCACTCTTCCCCTCTTTTTCCTTGCTGCCGTTGTAGTCTTTGAAGTGGCTGTGATGTACGTGGTGCAACCCGTCTTTACTGGTGTCACCGTTATCATTTGTCTCCTCTCTCATTCTGGCCCGGTCCCTGTCTCTGTGGCGGTGGTGTAGGCATGGCTGGTGAGTAACTGGAGGAGGGTCAGCAGTAGTCTCGGCCTCCTCTGGCATGCAGGTCTTGTGATGGTGGCGATGGTGGCCACCCAGCAAAGGCCCGTCACAAGGTTCAACAACCAGCGGCCGGTCAAGGTGGGTCTTCATGTCAGGCCGGATGTGGAGGGCCGAGGACATGCGGAGACGTTCTTCAGGCTCCAGCTCACTGTAGAGGGCCTCGCAGCTCGCCCGGTTCTGCCTCCTCAGCTGGTTGGCCCTCTGCTCCCACACTGACATTGTCTTCACTGACTTCTGCTGCTCCTTACTAGGGGAGGGGCAGAAAAAAACCAGACAAATCAAAACCACTGAGATATTATCATATAAAATACTGTGTGAATAATTGTTTAAACCCTCTACTTTGATGTCAATGGCTAACAGTTTGTCAGGATATAAGAATTTCCAATGGATATACTTACAAGCATGATTTCCCTTTAGATGCGTCACATTCAGTGTGTATGTAATTTACTCTTCATGACTTCATGACACATAAAACCAGCAGTATGTTTCATCTTACATGGTGGCACACATAGGCCCTGAATGATTTACAGTATGGCCATGGTGCAATGGAGCTTTCAACACAGCAAACCACTGGGTAAATTTATCAGTCTACTATGGAGAGAGCTCATCCATGGATATGCCTGAACGAAGGCCATTCATGACCACATTACCATGCTTTGACATGCTTTTCTGTCAATGTCTGTTTGTAATACTTTAAAATGGCATAATGCATGTACTTTTGGTTCACTGTGAACTAAAAACAGTGCATTAACTGTGGGAAATTACATGTGAACAGCAAATAACTTTATCCCATGTTCTCAACGCTCCATCATCCTGCACTTGCATTCCTCGTACTCCTTCAAAACTTCACAAGCAAGCACAATGCACTATACTCTTTAAGAACTAAAAGGCTGGAGAACATGGGACTTCACTTTCTGAATGAACAAAAAAGCCTGTATCTCTGTGTTTATCACAAAAATGCAGACAAGCTCTGTTATCTTTATGGAGACTTGCTTTCAAGAATCTAAATAATGAGAACATGATTATGTATGCTTTTAAGCATGTAAACATCATCATTGACCTATCGACCGCTAGCAGGCGGCTAGGTTTACCTCAGGTAGTGATGGCCGGGGGTGCAGATATAACTCCTACAAACACATAAAGGCAACAACATTGAAACAAAGAGGGAGAGAAGGAACTTCAAAAGAACACAAACATGTTATAGACAAAAGCACAGAGGGGGCCTATAAGCTTCAGAAAAATAATAAGGGGACAAACGTACAGCAGAAAAGCAAAAATATACAAAAGCCAAAAATACGATACTGTGCAAGAGTTTTAGGCAGGTGTGGAAATGCTGTACAGTAAGCTGGCTTTCAAAAATAGACATGTTAATAGACTATATTTATAAACAAACAAAATGCAAAGTGAGCAAAGACCACCCTTTGCCTTCAAACAGCAACAGTTCTTCTAGGTACACTTGCACATAGCTACTGAACGAACTCAGCAGGTAGGTTGGCCCAAACACCAGTGGCCAAGGCACCAGTGAGCCCTGTTTCTATTCAGGGGGTCAGTGTGGACATTGTGGAGGATTACAAATACCTGGGAGTGCACTTGGACAATAAACTGGACTGGGCCAAGAACACTCAAGCCCTCTACAGGAAGAGCCAGCCTCTATTTTCTGAGGAGGCTGAGGTCCTTCAACATCTGCCGGACAATGCTGAGGATGTTTTATGAATGTGGTGGCCAGTGCTATCCTGTTTGCAGTTGCATGCTGGGGCAGCAGGCTGAGGGTAGCGGGTCCTAACAGACTCAACAAACTGATCAGCAAGGCCAGTGACGTTGTGGGAGAGGAGCTGGACTCTCTGTTGGTGGTCAGAGAGGAGGATGCTGTCCAAACTACATGTCATCTTGGACAATGTCTCCCACCCACTCCATGACGTGCTGCTCAAAAACAGGAGCACTTCAGTGCAAGACTCATCCCCCCAAAATGCACCACAGAGCGCCACAGGAAGTCATTCCTGCCTGTGGCCATCAAACTTTATAACTCCTCCCTCAAAGTGTCTGACACACAGACACTTAGTTAGAACTGGACAATATTATCTGCTTTGTGCAATAACACCTTTTTAAATTACAATGTGCAATGTGCTACTATTTATTCATTATTACTGTTCACCATAACAATTTCTTAATCATGCAAATATTGTACATATCCACACTCTTTCTTTTATTTTATATTTTTACTCTGATATTTATTTACTTCTCTATATACCACTATCTTTATTTATATTCCTTTTGCCCTTTGTGCAATGTGTGCAACTGTAATACAGAATTTCCCTTTGGGGATCAATAAAGTATTTCTCATTCTGATTCTGACATCTTGGAGAACTCCCCAAAGTCCTTCTGTGGATTTAGGCAGCCTCATTTACTTCGCTCTCTTCATGTAATCCCAGACAGACTGGATGTTGAAATCAGGGCTCTGTGGGGCCCATACCATCTCTTCCAGGATTCCTAGTTCTCCTTTACGCTGAAGATAGTTCTTAATGAACTCTCAATCAGATGCCTCTCTGGTGGTACTGCACGATGAGTAAGTTTCTGCCTATACTTCTCAGCACTGAGGAGACCATTCATTCTGACCAAATCCCCAACCTGTGTTTTTCTATGCATAGCTGAGTTGTGTGGCCTTCCATGTCGGATGCTTTTTGGCCGCAAGTCTTCCATTAAGGCCACTTCTTACCAGACAGTAGATGGTGTACCAGGGTCCCACTGTTTTCTGCAGCTCTGAGCCGATGGCACTGCTGGACATCTTTCACTTGCAAAGGGAAGTAAGCATGATGTGTCTTTCCTCTGCTGCAGTAAGTTTCTTTGGCCGACCACTGAATCTATGGTTCTCAATGTTGCCCGTTTCTTTGTGCTTCTTCAAAAGAGCTTGGACAGCATATCTGGAAACCGCTGTCTGCCTTTTAATCACTGCCTAGGAGACCTTGCAGTAGAACTACCTTGCTATGGTCAGTATTGCAACGGAGAGTTGAGTTTGGCTGTTTGTCACCCAGTTGTGTTCCTTCTACACAGCTGTTTCTGTTTCAGTTATTCATTGTGTTTCAACCTACATATTGAATTGGGGATCATTACCACCTCTTTGGTATAATTGTTTAATCATGCACCTGATGATATGCCTACAAAATCCCTGACTTTGTGCAAGTGTTCCCAGAAGAACCGATGCTGTTTGAAGGCAAAGGGTGGTCACACCAAATATTGGGTTGATTTAGATTTTTCTTCTGTTACCTCACTTTGTATTTTGTTAATTGATAAATATAATTTATTGTCTATTTTTGAAAGCTTACTTTAAAACATTAACAACACAAAAAATAGATACTAGAAAATAATGGAATAGTTACTAGTAACTAATAAATAAGTACTAGTAGCTTTTAAATAGAGACTACTAAGGAATACATATTAAAACAGCTTGCCATACAATTATTACTACAGTATGAAGGAGCAGTGGAATGTTTGGCTGGCCTGGCTTGTCTTACATAGGATTTATTTCAATGTTTCACTACAGGAAGCCATCTCACGGATTCTACTTAGAGAACAGGTGTTATGCAAGTAACCTAAAGTTGTCTCATAGTGTTTCTTTCAATATCTCACTACATGCAGGGGTGGGGTGGGTTGTCTCATACTAAGACATCTCACTTCTACTACTACTAACTGAAGATCAATTTACATACTTACAGGTCACATCTTTGATTGTATGTGTGTGTGTGTGTGTCTTCGGAGCATTCCGAACAGTGTAAAGCACAGAAGTTACAGCGAATTGCTATTATCACTAATTCTAAACTGCATTGCATCCAACCTGTCCATCTCTGATGTTTGAGCTACAAGTTTTTATTTAGAGAAAGTTTAAGTTATAAAAATGTGATTACAGTTCAAACAAATCCTCAAAATAGCACAACACTGTTTCATTGCCATTTAAAACCACAAATTCTGCAAGCAACAATATGCCTTAACGCTGCTTAATAACTGAATAATTGAAGGGAAATAAAAGTCAGCAAGCTGCTTTCTGTAAGTTCTTAGTGGGTTGTCTAAACTTTACTAATTAAAGTTGCTACAACATATATACTTTATAATGATGAAAACGAAGACCTAAAATGAAGAAGTTTGGAAACCCGACCCCGTTTTGCGTTTCAAAACTCCGGAGGGCGTTTTAGTGAAGAGGGGCTCGTGCTCGGCTCTCTGATTGGGTCTTGCAAAGCAGAAACACGATGCTGCTGACCGGGTTTTTGACATCATATTTTTATTAAAATATTCTGTACCGTGCAAATAACACTCATCTGCCTACACTTGTACTGTGCATGTCGCCGTTTACTTTGCAACAACTCCCAGTCTGTTTTCTGACACCACACTCCCGTGTTACATTAAGTTACAGCCCCAGCTCGTTATTGATCCGTGCAAAAAAAAAAAAACTGGTCTGATGCTTAGTCTGTATTTATTTATTCTTTCACCAAATCTTCTGTAACTACGGAATAGACCATCTGCTTCCTGTTTACACTGGCACACGCATGCCCAGTGCACCTGAACGGGTCCTAGCTGTGCGTTGTCAGTGACACCTTGAGGACCAATTAAAAAGCTACTTAACAGCTTTCTATAAATGCTTCTTCTTCCTCTTTATCATGGTTATTAAGTTAGTATAGTGTTTCTGTTGCATGAGGATTGTTACATATAAATACTGAATATGGGAACTAACTTGGCAATATTCTATTTCTAGACCAAAACCAACAATGTGTTAGTTTGTCTCTCAAAAAGTTTTCACTTCCTTGCCCTGTCTGTGCTTCTCAGCTCCAAACCCATTGGTTTCTACTTAAAATGTAAATCTTTAAAAACATCTCACAAATATAAAGCTGACGTGACAGCAGTAACAAACAATACATATTTAGAACCAGCATGGAAAAATGAACCACAGCTGCAAATATACATAACACATACAGTATGAACAATATCTTGATTTCGACCACAAACAGTCAGATACCATGATCACTGACAGACACTCTTGACACCTGTAGATCACAGAAAAATAATAAAAACAGAACAGGAATAGTAATACTGAACAGTTGGATGACAAATGGACAATTTACACAGAAGAAAGACATAATGATGACACCAGAAGAATACAGGGTTTGGCAGCAGAAGAAGATTGATGGGAGAAGGGTAATGGGAGGATTTTAAAATTGTAACAGAGAGGTAATAACTCACAGTGAGTTAACGCTGCAGATGGATGAGCTGCTAGAGTGCGCGTTACCTCGACTGCGTGTTAGAAAACTGCACATGCACAAAACAAAAATTGGGGAGGGGAAACATCATATTGGACGACATCAGAGAAACAAAAATACACTATTTGACATTTCTCTGTCTTCTCTGTATCCTTTAGCCTCCCATCACATTTCACTGCAATGGGCCGTCAAAGCTCCGAAACACAGACTGAGACTGAACCACCAAGGAAATGTCAGAAAAATTGACCATCAGGGACTGTCATAGTGACAGTTTACTTTGTTTTTTATTCTAAAATGGGCAATCATATTAAGCCCATATATGAGAGAATTGGGTTATAAAGAAATGTATTTATGTATAAACTACTGATGCTAAAAGCCAATTGCATTTTACTGATATTTGTAGAAGTAGAGCTGCTCTGGACACAAGAATATGGGTGGAGCTGAAAAAAAAACAAAAACAACATATACTATTTGGATAAATACTGAGGTCAGCCCAATAGCAGCAGCTAGTTAATGTCAGTTTGTGTGGTGACACAAACTGACATTATGTGGTGAGTACATTGTTCTGCTACGGGCAATCCTGTCAAGTCAATTGTACTGATGCAAGATCAGGTGAACTTGGCATCCTTTGATTCAAAACATGGTATAATGTGGCTTTACTGATGGCAAAATGGCCTGCCGTGTTTCTGTGTATAACAGAACTATTAGATTTAGATTTCATTTAACTGGCCCCACTTAAAGCTGGGGTAGACAATTTATTTCAGAAGCATTTTGTTATATTTGTTGAAATTACTATTACATTACAAATCTATTTAATCTGTCCATCTCAGTTGTTTCAGCTGCAATGCAGTTTTTATTTATTGAAAATTAAATTTACAAAAATGAGATTACAGACCAAACAAATCCTCCAAATATTACAAAAGCAGTTTCATTGCCAATTAAAACCCCAAATTCTGTCTTTTAGGCAGTTAAACCTACAGTATCTGGCAAACAACCATATGTCCTAATGCTTTATAATTGGATTATTGGAGAGTGATGATGTGTTATCTGATCTGAGACTAGGACAGTAAACCCCCTCTTAAAGTGCAACTGATCTCAGTTGTGGTTTAAATGGGCCAGAACTTCCGCTGACACTAAGATGATCTGTTTTCCAAACCATTTATCTAGTAGCCTTTGCATTAGGTTTAGAGTAAGTGAACACAAACAGACCTGGTCTCTGCCAACTCCTGAGAAAAATAACTTTCTCTTTAGCTGCTAAATGCTACACTATTTTCACCAGCAAGTTGCTAACTTGGCCTGTCTGCTTTTTGGTGCTGGGCAGGTAATGTACTGTGGTTTTATCAGAGCTTTTTCACAAAAAACAGCTGCCTGTTGCTACCAAATTGGTGAGAGTGGAGTATGATGACTGTAAAACCAAAACAATGATCTGAAAGATGCTTAAAAGCTCCACAGACCTCAGGGGAATTACAGAGGTGAGTGATGATTTTCTGAGTTTGTCACTACAAGCAACTCTTTTTACAAACAGTCTGTGAATCTATTATTTTAAAGCAAGATGGTTGCCTCGGAGTTAGGTGTGCATTGTTTTGTTTTTGTGTGTTAACTCATTTCGGCTGTGATTCCCAGAGCTCTTTCACCAGAGAAGAGCTCAACATCAGGTGAACCACTCCAGCGGATTTATTTCCCACTTTTCTGACGTCATCAGTGGAATTATTGGACATTTTGGTGAAGGGCTCTCATTGTTGTTAGACGAATGAAGCACCATAAGGGGGCGGCTGTGGCTCAGGAGGTAGAGCGGGTTGGTGGAGGTGTCTGTTTTTATATTAACAATGGCTGGTGACAGTGATTCAGCAGCACTGTTCTCCTAATCTGGAATATTTTATCATTAACTGTAAACCGTTTTACTCCCCCTGTGACTTTGCTTCATTCATTCTGGTCGGTGCACGCCAATGTGCACGACGCACAGCACATGCTGGCCGACCAGATACTGTATGTGGAGCAGATAAACCTTGTCATTGTTCTTGGTGACTTTAACAAAGGAAACCTCTGCCAACAAGTGTCCAACCAGAGAGGGGATCACTTTGGATCACTGTTACACCAAAGTTAGCAGTGCCTATCACGCCGTTACATGCGCTCCACTGGGACACTCAATCTGGATGAGTTTACAGAGGCTGTGACATCCTACATCAGCTTCTGTGAGGACAGCTGCATTCCAACACGCACCAGGGTGAGTTATAACAACGACAATCCCTGGTTTACAGCTAAGCTGAGGTTGGAAAAGGAAGAGGCATTTAGGAGTGGGGACCGAGCCAGATTTAAGGAGTCAAAGTACAGGTGTAGCAAGGTGGTGCGAGATGCTCTCTCCAGCCATATTCAGAGAGACTACAACACCAGTTCTCAAGGAATGACTCTGCTTCTGTCTGGAGAGGATTCAGACAGATCACCAGCTACAAACCTAAATCCCCCCACTCCATGAATGACTCAGGCCTTGCCAACGAGCTGAACCAGTTTTACTATCGCTTTGAAAGACAATGGGACAGACCTGACACCATCCCCTGTCACACCACTGACCGGCCACAGTCCACCATCTCATTCCCCACCTCCTCCCCCTCTCTTACCATCCCAGAGAGGGACGTCAACCGACTGTTCAGGAGGCAGAAACCTCGCAAAGCAGCGAGGCCGGTCTCCCCATCCACCCTGAAGCACAGTGCTGATCAGCTGTCTCCAGTGTTCACGGTGGAATTTTTAACACCTCACTGGAGTAATGCCATGTGCCAGCCTGCTTCAAAGCCTCCACCATCATCCCTGTCACCAAAAAACCAAGGACCATAGGACTAAACGACTACAGACCCGTCGCCCTGACCTCTGTGGTAATGAAGTCTTTTGAGCACCTTGTGTTGTCCCACCTTAAATCCATCACAGACCCACTCCTGGACCCCCTGCAGTTCGCCCACAGAGCCAACAGGTCTGTAGCTGATGCAGTAAACATCGCCCTTCACTACATCCTCCAGCACCTGGACTCCCCAGGAACCTACACCAGGATCCTGTTTGTGGACTTCAGCTCTGCTTTCAACACCATCATCCCGGCCCTGCTGCAGGACAAGCTCTCCTAGCTGAACGTGCCTGACTCCACCGGCAGGTGGATCACAGACTTCCTGACAGACAGGAAGCAGCACGTCAAAATGGGAAAATATGTCTCTGACTCCAGGACCGTCAGCATCGGTTCCCCTCAAGGCTGCGTTCTTTCCCCCTCTTCACTTCTCCCTGTACACCAACAGCTGCACCTCCAGTCACCAGTCTGTCAAGCTCCTGAAGTCACATCCTCCCCCATCATCCTGTGAGACTCCCCCGTTGCCACTGTGGACTCCTTCCACTTCCTGGGCACCATCATCTCCCAGGACCTCAAGTGGGAGCTGAACATCACCTCCCTCACCAAGAAGGCCCAGCAGAGGATGTACTTCCTGCAGCAGCTGAAGAAGTTCAGCCTGCCAAAGACAATGATGGTGCATTCCTACACCGCCATCATTGAGTCCATCCTCACCTCCTCCATCACCATCTGGTACGCTGCTGCCACTGCCAGGGACAAGGGAAGGCTGCAGCGTATCATTCGCTCTGCGGAGAAGGTGATTGGCTGCAATCTTCCATCACTTCAGGACCTGTACGCCTCCAGGCGTGAGCAGGAAAGATTGCAGCTGACGCCTCCTACCCCGGACACAAACTGTTTCAGACTCTCCCCTCTGGCAGGAGGCTGCACTCCATCAGGACCAAAACCTCTTGCCACAAAAACAGCTTCTACCCATCTGCAGCTAGCCTCATCAACAAGGCCCGCCCCCCCTCAAATCATACAATCGTCTCTGCACATGTAAATATCACTTCATGTTATATAATGCACAAACCTGGCACATTGCACACTGTTAATTTGTTGTTAATTGTAAATTGTTGTTGTTCCATTGTTATTTTTATTATTTTTTTTTTTTTTATATTGTCAGTTGTATTAATTTTCTCTTTCTATTCTTCTGTAACTTGCATTTGTTTATTACATATTTATATATTTCTACATCTATTTATGTCAACTGTATGTCTGTCTGCGTGTAGCACCTTGACACCAAAGAAAATTCCTTGTATGTGTAAAACACTACTTGGCAATAAAGCTCCTTCTGATTCTCATTTAGTACAACTTTAAAGACCAGAATGAATAGGCCTTTTGAATAAGGTCACTTGATCAAATGTAAAAAAATAATAAAAAATATTCCCACACTAATTTATGTCATTGTCATTTGTCAGGATCTATTTACAAGAATCCTGAAAGGCTGATAAATTACAATGTACTTCATGTCCATCGTTTGAATGAGCCAGCGCTTTAAGATTAAATGTGTATAAATGTTTTATTCCTTTTTACCAACCTTTGTCTTTGCCATTCAGATTTGCCACATAGGGTATCTACCATGTGGTCAAAAAGTGATGTTCAGCTCCACCGTTAAGATTATATATGCCTCCAGAGCAACACTCGTTAAGTGTTACAAAAAGGATGTACACAAATGAGCCATAGCAGGTAATGCACAACACTGTTTGTTACAGGCTACAGAACAGTACACAGAACAGTATCTTTCATTCAGTGAGAAGGGTAACAAAGTATTTGAAATAAGAGTAAAACAATGCATATTCAATCCTAGTTGGAGTTACCTGGTTAAATAACGACCAATAAATATATGAAATATCATTTAACATTTTAATATACACTATCATATATTGCCTGGAAAGTTATTATAAATTAGTCCATAATTAGCCTTGTGAAAGGGTCAATTTAATTGCTGGGATCTGTCTATCCTAATATCATACATGCTGAATAAGGGGGGTCTTAAGTGTCCATTCTGGTTTTGTGTAAAAAAAATATACTGAATATCATAAACATAGTCTGCATTAAAAGCAAAAATATCTATCACTTCAGTTGTGAGTAGCATGTTTTCTGTTGATGTTTTGATTTTTCTTAAGGACCCTGCCAAAATCTACAATAGACATCATTTGGGAGAAAAGAATATGTGGTTGAAGAGATTAACAGTGACTCTCACTGGGACATTGTGAGAACTACACCCAGGGTCCTCTGGGGAAGAACTAAATCAAACAGAGACCATGCATGAAAATACCAATGAAAGAACATTCTGATTAGGTTGTCTATGTTTGTGTAAATGCAGACAGAGAAACAGGCAATCACAGAAAAAACAGGAAAAAGAACAACTAGAGATTGTATATATTTAGGGTATAAGCATAATATAAATGCTATTTACCACAGACTTGGCGGTGTGTATTATTGAACTGTTTAGTGCACAGCTGTTTTGTATTTTTGCCCTTTTATCTGTATTTGTTTACATTTTTTAGAAAGAAAAAAGAATCTGAGCACTGAATGCAAATTCTGCCAATTCAAGTGTATTGCCATATTGATGAACTAGTGTTTAGCATGTGAACATGTACAACAAAAGGTACCCAGAATTCCTGTGAGTCTTTCCTGTGGGTGTGTGTTGAGTAAGAGAAGAAAGAACAGGATTTCAGATATCCAGAACAAACATTAGAGGAGATTGACTTACGCTGTGATAGAAATGTTAGCGGCCGACATGGGGCTGACCTCCTTTACCTCCTTAGCCTTCTGGAGTGCAAGCTTCTTATTGATGGCCTCCTCCTGTTCCTCTTCATCCTGGACAGTATTTGCAAAAATAAACATACATACTAGAGCTGACCCCGAAAAGTGGAAGATTTGATGCTTCGATGGGCGGAGCCTGATTCGAGTGTCAATCTCGCAATAGAGGCTTCACAGCGGTGTTGTGAAACAAGGATCATACTATTTTGGCGATATGGGGGTGCTCAATGTCTGATTTTACATAGAACTACCAGTTTTCTCCCAATAAGTTAATATACAACTTATTGAAATATAAATATCAACATATAATGCTGTAAATAAAAATGTGAAAAGAAAAAAGCTTTAACAAAGTTAAAGGTTTTTAAAGTGCGTGAATTAATCCAAAATTGAAACCTTAACCCTTAATGAAGAGGGGTCAGTGCGCATGTATGGGTGTAGTGTGTCTGTGGGCCTTTGCGAAACTAGACCCTCGCCACTTCCACTCCGTCACGGAGTGAACTCTTGTCGGAGTCATCCCCCGCAGCCTAACTGAACTACACTCTCCCCCCAGCGTAAATAGGATCTGACGTTACCACTGCAATCACTGCTATAATATGTGTATCAAATAAACAACAGTTGTGTCTATGAAGATTCTCAGTCATCCAGGTCATAGTTATCCAACGAAGGTTAAAAATCAAGGGCAAGGGCATCTTGGTTGAAGATATTCCAGTATCTCCAAGTCCAGTTGCCCTAAACAACAGTTGTATTAAAGTTCAAGATTGATGTTGAGGAAAAAGTGTTTTTTGCTATAATAAAACTGAAAGCATTTGTCACTTATTTTGTTTGTTCATGAACCAAATTATTTTGGTTAGATTTAGAATATTTCTGTAAGACTATGACTTCAGATATTTTCGAAAAATAAATATTATATTCTTTTATGAAAAGATTGATATTCATTGCAAAAGAAAAGCCTATATATTTGAACCTCTTTATCTTATATGAAAATATTACATTCACAAATAGGCTACAACATTTCAAAATAAATCAAACATTATATTGAAGCATTTCATAAATCAGTTAAAATGTGTAAGGACTACTAGGCTATTAGAGTTTTGGAGGCATGATTTTTTGGTCATTTGAATATTTAAGACCTGCATTTTCAATCCCTTTGTTTGTCCTTCATATCTAAAGATGAGGATGTTCAAATTTCTGTTTTTGTTCAAATGTACAACAATACCCAGGTTCCACACATGACTTAAGTGAATGACTAATCATTCATGCAGCACACCTGGACACACCACCGGTCACAGAACAGAACTGCCTCACTGCCACAAACAACTGTCTCCACCTGCTGGCATGTAAAGCCTTCTGCTTCCAGCACTGTTCCAAAGACTTCTGTTCCTGTCATCATCATGCATAGACCAGTAAACCGAAATGTGCACATCCCACACAGAAATCATAGTAATCTTATAAGGATTAGGACAACTGCACCAACTCTAGCACCCAAAACAAACTCATTTAAAATGGCTCTGTCAAGTAAGACTTATCTTAAATGATTTTATCTTGTCTGCAAATCTAGATTTTATGTTTTTAACTGAATCATGGTTGCAAATGAATGACTATAGCTAGCTGAACTGTGTCCGTCTCAATATGATTGTTTAAGTCAACCGAGGGTCAGTGGTCGTGGTGGTGGGCTAGTGAGCGTATATAGGAAAAAATTTTAATTTCATCAAGTACGCTGTGATGAATTTAACTCCTTTGAAGTTCTCACTCTTAAACTTGGAGGGCTGCAACCTATCATACTTGTAATAATTTATCGCCCCCCAAAACCGCCTGGAGGATTTTTATCAGAACTTCCTGAATTTTTATCTACTCTGGTTTTAAATTATGACAGAATTGTTCTTTGTGGCGATTTTAATATTCATGTTGATTAAATATGGCCACTTCTTTTAACTTCAAACAACATGTCAAAGGGCAAACACTTAACCGTGGTCATACACTGGACTTGGTTTTTATCCTGGGTGCCAGCATTTCCTCTGTGGAATTAGTGGACATGACCATATCTGACCACAGATGTATTGTTTTTAGCTGCGATTCGCCTTTTACTCATGCCGCCTCACCAAGCTCCGTGTGTTCTCGCATCTTTAATGAACAAAGTGTTTCAGAGTTTTGCACATTCTTTCAGAGCCAAAGCCAACACCTGTCTGATTCCAACACCAACAATCTGGTTGATCACTTCAATCATATCTGCTTGTAGTCACTAAATATTACTGGTTAGGCCTACGTCTAAAGCTAGTAAGCAACCCTTTTAATAGTTTTAACCAGTTTTATCCCATCGACCTGTCTGAGCTTTTAAAAACAGTATCACAAATGAGTGTCCTCCAGCCCACTTGATGTAATGCCTACAAAGTTTTTACTGAAAGTAATGGATTCTGTTGGGCCCCATTTGATCTCTGTTTTTAACAGCTCCCTATCTACTGGTTGTGTCCCTGATTATTTTGAAATGGCTTGCGTGAACCCACTTTTAAAGAAACATGGTTTAGATCCCTCCCTCCCACAAAACTTTAGACCAATTTCAAAACTGCCTTTTATTGCACTGTACTGGAATATAACAAATTATTTGAAAAGTTTCAATCTGGTTTCAGGAAGTACCACAGCACTGAGACTGCCCTGCTTAAAGTCACCAATGACCTTTTAATGTCTGCTAATGAAGGTATGTGCTCAGTCCTGGTACTCCTGGACCTTAGTGCTGCTTTTGACACCATTGATCACAACATCATGTTAGACATCTCAGGGGATCTCTGGTACTGCCCTAGAATGGTTTTCATCCTACCTGTCAAATAGGAAGTTTTGCGTGTCTGTAAACAACTATGTCTCTTCGTTCTGTCCAGTTAAATATGGTGTGCCTCAGAGGTCGGTCTTAGGACCCATTTTGTTTTCCTTGTATCTGCTTCCCCTTGAACATATTATCCATAAACATGGCATTTCTTTTCATATTTATGCAGATGACACACAAATGTACTTGCCCGTCAGATCCACAGACCCTGGAATGCTGAGTTCACTTAACAACTGCCTTTGTGAAGTTAAAAAATGGATGTCAAATAATTTCCTCCAGCTGAACTCAGACAAAACAGAAATCCTGGTCATTGGGTCCCAGCAGATGGCAAAACAAATACTGCCACCTGCTGGTTCCCTAGTAAATCACATTAAGCCTGTTGCAAAGAACCTTGGTGTTTGGTTTGATAGCAATTAAAATTTTGAGCAGCACACCACAAAGCTTGTTCAATCATGTTTTTATCAACTTAGAAATATAGCAAAAATTCAATCTATGTTAACTTTTAAGGACACCGAGACCATTTTACACACCTTCATCTCATCACGCCTGGATTATTGCAACAGCCTTTTCACTTGTTTAACCCAAAGATCTACTGATCAACTCCAGACTGTCCAGAACTCAGCTGCCAGGCTTTTAACCAGAACAAAGAATTATGACCATATTACACCTATTTTAGGTTCATTACACTGGCTCCCAGTTTGTTTTAGAATTGACTTTAAAATTTTATTGATCACTTTTAAAGCACTTTGTAACTTGTTTTTGAAAAGTGCTCTACAAATAAAGATTATTATTATTATTATTATAGTACAGACACTTTTACATGAAGTCCTTATTTATACTACGGTGATTTTCTTGTCCTGTTCATACTTTATAAGTTCTACTATTGCTGGGCAGACTTATTGTTTCTTGGCCTATTCATTTCATTGTTACGTTACATTCAACCTGGTGTTAACTTGCATTACAAAATAAACTGAACTTGCGTCATCTAAAGGTTACTTTTGACAATTACGTTACTTGTTGTAAATAAGGTTAAAAACATTAGGGTGTCAGAGGTAAAGCATTCATTGTGCACAAATATGCTTATTATAGACTGATTCTATGAATGCACATGAGGCTCTATGCATACTTAAACAAGTTTTGCTCTGACATCTGAATGGTAGTGAATTTGGTCTCATGCCATGTTTGAGAAATTGTTCCTTTTTAGAATTTTTAGAAGACTAATCTGCAAGCATTTTCAACTGGTGTGGTTTAAAAAGGCGATAAAGGGTTTCCCCACATAGGGCAATGTCATTCCCAGGTTCCAAATTTAAGTAGTTAACAATATTGGTGTGGTTTTACATTACATTTATTAATTTAACTGACACTTTTATCCAAAGCAACTTACAATTGCTATACATGTCAGAGATCGCACGCCTCTAGAGCAACTATGGTCTTGCTCAGGGACATATTGGTGTATGGGTCACAGTGGGGGATTGAACCCGGGTCTCTCACACAAAAGGCATAGTTGCAAAGTTTATTTCAGTAATTCCATTCAAAAAGTGAAACTTGTATAATTCATTCCACACAGACTGATATATTTCAAGTGTTCATTCCTTTTAATTTTGATGATTATAACTGACAATTAATGAAAAGCCCAAAATCAGTATCTCAGAAAATTTGAATATTGTGAAAAGGTTCAATATTGAAGACACCTGGTACCACACTCTAATCAGCTAATTAACTCAAAACACCTGCAAAGGCCTTTAAATGGTCTCTCAGTCTAGTCCTGTAGGCTGCACAAACATGGGGAAGACTGCTGACTTGACAGCTGTTCAAAGACGACCATTGACACCTTGCACAAGGAGGGCAAGACGCAAAAGGTCATTGCTAAAGAGGCTGGCTGTTCACAGAGCTCTGTGTCCAAGCACATTAATAGAGAGGCGAAGGGAAGGAAAAGATGTGGTAGAAAAAAAGTGTACAAGCAATAGGGATAACCCTGGAGAGGATTGTGAAACAAAACCCATTCAAAAATGTGGGGGAGATTCACAAAGAGTGGACTGCAGCTGAAGTCAGTGCTTCAGGCAGAGACGTATGCAAGACATGGGTTTCAGCTGTCGCATTACTTGTGTCAAGCCACTCTTGAACAAGACACAGCGTCAGAAGCGTCTCGCCTGGACTAAAGACAAAAAGGAATGGACTGCTGCTGAGTGGTCCAAAGTTATGTTCTCTGATGAAAGTAAATTTTGCATTTCTTTTGGAAATC